GCTCCGGCCCAGCGGCGTAGCAGCCTTGAGAGGCAGACGGGCCAGGGGGCTCAGCCCAATGGGGCCCCCAGAGGCACCGGCCGCCTGGGGCCGCACTGAGCCCCGAGCGTGCAGACCGCAGCGGTGGCACGGGGACCCAGCGCCGAGCTTGGGAAGCACGGGCGTCCCTGTGGGCCGGCCGGAGCCCTGACACCGTGCGGAATTCTCGGGCCCCTGGCCTCCCCGTCGTGTGCCCGTCCGTGAGCACATGTCCCCAGGGGCTGGGTCTCTCCCACGTCAGCCTCCGAGCCACTCAGCATGGAGCCGGGAGCTGGTCCACGCCGACGTGTGGCCGTCCTTCCTGTCCGTGCGGAGGGCAGCCGCGCTCGTGGGCGCAGACGGCTCCACTCGGGGCGTTGGACGTGCAGAGGGCGCGTCCCCTCGCGCGTGGGCTTCTGTGGGGCATGCACCCTGCGTACCCGCGGCATCACACGGCAGAGGCTTCGCTTCTGCAGCGACGGCCCAGCTCCTCGCCGGCGCGGTCACGTCCATTCACACTCCGCCAGCGGCCACCCTGGCCCGTCGCAGCCTCTTGTGCGTGAGCTGTGTCCGTGTCTCACGCTTCCCTGCACCGGGACTTGTCCTTTTTGTGTATTGATTCACACGAGTTTCCCCACATCCCAGACGCTAAGCGCTTCGTCCTTGAGTGATGCTGCAAACATCGCCTCCAAGTCTTTTTACTGCATTGACGACTTCTTTTCCTAAAGTTCTTAATTTTAACGTTTGCGAACCTTCCCGCCTTTTCTTCCAAGGTTTAGGATTTGGCGTCGTTATAGCCCATTTTTCCCGCCCCAAGATGACAGCGACGTGGACGTGGCTTCACGTTCAGGTCCCGGCCCATCGGGAGCTGCCCCCAGGTGTGGTGGGAGGGCGGGTCCAGGTTCCTTTCCTCTGGGGACGTCCAGCTGCTGCCGCCACGTGCGGTCTCCGTCGGATTGACTCGTTATTTCTGTCGAACTCCATTACGGTGGCTCCTGAAGCCATATAGTCTCGTTGTTCTTCACGTATATATTTATTTGCTTTGGATATTTTGGGTACTTTTCATTTCTGGATAAATGTTAGGAATAACGTTGATTTCTAAAAAAAAAAAAAAAAAAGCCTGGCACATCTTTGGCCTATTGCTGAATCTATAGATCAGTTTGGGGAGAACCGACATCAGTATTGAGTCTTTCGATCCATAACGTGCATCTTCCCATTTAGTTGGGTCTTTAACTTTTTGTAGTTGACGGTATCGAGGGCTTAAACTCCGCCGTCTGTCCATCGGTCCGACGGTCTTTGGCTCTTTCCGGAGGACGTGGTCTGTTTACGTTGATCGTAGCTCTCGAGGTGTTTGCACTTGTTCTACCGTCTTATTTTGCGCTTTATGTGGGTCCTGCTTTTTTTTCCTCTTTTTCTTCTAATCTCATTTTACAGCCTGTTTGCCCTTCTATGTTTTCTTCTCTCTCCTGATTAGACAGCTCCCTGGTCTCTGAAGTGGCCCCAGAACAGGGAGGCACAGCCTCCCACAACTTCTGCGGGCAGCCTTGCCAGAGGCGGGGCCCCCTCACCCGAGGGCCTAGAAATCACACACACGCCCAGCGTGGACACGGGTTGCGGGGGGCCAGGGGGGCGGAGCCTGCTTAACACCTTGGAAAACATCACAAAGGAACAAGGTAGAGTCAGTCTGAAAATCGATCCCACAAAACTTCTGGAAGTAAAGACACGATCATTGAAAGCAAAACCCCAGTCAAGGGGTTGAACTGCGGGTTCGATGTCGCCGAGGGAGAATTGGTGCACGAGAAGACAGACCCCGCGGACCTTCCCACGTGCAGACAGAGACGCAGACGGAAACGGAAAGGAAGTGGGGTGGGCCACGGAGGACAGAGCGAGGGGCTCAGACTCGCCTCCCGGGGTCAGGAAAGGCAGTGCTGACAGCGGCTTTTGCTGAGAATTTTCTGGAGCATTAAAACACATTTGCTCCACACCCAGGAAGTGAGTCAATGTCCACTCTGCGACGGACAGCATAGGACAGATGCCTGGAGAAGGCAGCACTGGGCACGGACGGGCCTGACTCTCGGACCCGTGAAATGACACTGTGTTCCCAGTGAGCCAGCGCAGTACGCACTGGGACCCCGAGGGACGCCAGCCACCACCACACACGCAGAACGAAGCGCCCGACCCCTGGCTCGGGTCCGGGCTGTCACGGCGATTACTCCGAGGTAGAAAAGGACCTGCCACCTGCCCTGCCCGGGGCAACAGCCCACCAAGCGCAGGAGCCCAGAGCTGAGGGCCTACTGCCTTTACAACCTCAGCCCCAGAAGTGGTGCCCACCCCTGGGGGCACGGTCTGGCCACCTGCGGTGCCCAGGGTGCAGAGCCGGGGGCTCCTCATGGCGCACGGCCTGGCGGGCGGGCAGAGGCCAGGGAGTGACCTGGAAGAGACGCTGGCCGTGGCCGCTCCCATCCCGCTTTGTTGCGTGCAAAGCCAGGACCACCTCCAAGAGGGACCGGCATCTGCTTTCAGGGGCCTTCCCGATAAATGGCCTGCTGGTTCTTGGGGTGCTCCCCCAAGCCCCAAGGGGCAGGTCAGAATCTGCAGCCCAGCAGCGGGGAAGCCACGACCAGAGCATGCCGGCAGCACGCATGCAGACAGAACGAAGTACCTGGGGGAGCTGTGGCTCCGGGGTTCGGTTATGCAGGAACGGTCCTTGGAAGGTGATAGTGTTTAAGCTGTCAGGACTCAGCGGTCCTCATGCTGCACCAGGTCGCTAGAAATGCCGGCAGCAGGCGGGGCTCCCACCCCCACAGCACCCGCCCTGCAGGAGGTGGGGAGCCCGCGCCCCTCCCTGGGTGCGCCCTGCCCCAGGCCACGCCCCGCAGCCTCCGTCCTCTGCCCCAGCCTCTACCTCAGTCCCGCGTGACGTGACATCTCCTCATCTTGACCCAGGATCGCTGACCGCGCTGTCCCTGGTCCTCCCGCTTTAGAGCAAACGCTGAGGGCTGACCGCCTCGCTCCGTCCACTCCTCTCCGCCCTTACTTGGGCTTCGACCCCCACGCGCCCTGGGGCCAGCCCCTCCGGCTGCCCATCCCCCGTCCTGCCCCAGCTTCCCGCTCCCAAGGGCGGTGCCCCCCACCCACAGCAGCTGGGGCCAGACCACACCCTGACACCCCAGCTCGCCCGTGGGTGCCACGGCTCCAGGAGGATGGGGAGGGGCTGACCGCGTCTCAGGCGGGCCTAGGCAGAGCTGTCCCTTCCCTGCCTGGCGAGCCCTCACGTCCGAAGCCCCTTCTCTTCCAGAATCAGAGATGGTGACCACTGTCATGACCATGTCCCCCAACGAGGAGCAGATGGAGATCTCGCTGGGAGAGGTCAGTGAGGCCCACCTGCCCACAGCCACACCCTGCTGGCCCATTGACCCCCCTTGCTTTGACTGGAGCCAGACTAGACTTACTGGCCACTGGAAGCGAAGTCTCTGGGCAACTTGCAGTCTCATCCTGCGTCCGGCCACCCCCGTCCCAAGCCGGAGTCTGGCAGGACCGGAGCAGCAGTGGCTGTTTCCTGGGTGCAGGGCATCATGTGCGCACACACGTGTGCAAGGTCAGGGTGTCGCCAAGGCCAGCCGTGCACACGGCAGTGGCAGTGTCGGGGAGGCCTTCGGGCTGCCCTTTGCTCCGCCCTTGGCTGGGGCCTGGGCAGGAAGTCCTCGCAGTGCAGGGCCAGGCTTGGGACCGGTGTTTGTGTGGCCAAGGGGACGTCCCGGGCATGTCTGTCCCGCCACACTCACCTCACAGCGAGGCAGCTGCAGGGAGGGCGGTGGGAGGCGTCTTCACAGAGTGGAGCCTGACGGGCGGCGGCATCTGTCTCCCATGCAGATCACGGAAGGTGACATCGGCCCCTTCAGTGCCATCAAAGTGCCCGTCATCTTCTCCCCGGTCATCCCAGGAGCCGTCCAGACCCGGTTCAAGGTCACGTTCAACAATCAGGAGTGCCCGACAGTAAGTGTCCCGCAGACGCTCCGCACACACGGTCACTGCAGGGCGGACCCGTCCTGGGCACAGGGTCCGCCCCTCCCACTCGCTCCTCACACGGCCACGGGGCCACTGCCCGAGTCCCCCACACTCGCGCTGCTAGTTGATGGCACAGACGGTCGGCCCCCAACACATGCACACGTCCATGCTCACACACTGCACAAGGACACACACGTACACGCTCACACTCACACTCACACACTCATAACACTCACGCGCATGTGCACATACACATGCACGCACACCCGTGTGCACATGTGCGCACACGCATGTGCATGCACTCACGGACCTCGCTCGCGATCTCTAGGTTGGTGACCACAGGCAAGGCCGAATCCATAAATGCGGTGTGTGCAAACGAAGACGGGGCCGTCGACGTCGTCCGTCCCTCCCTGTCCCCGCTGCTCGGCAGCTTCCCCTCGTGGTCACGCTTTTGACGCGTCCCCCTTCCGCGGCTGCCGCGTGGGCTTTTATGCAGCTGCTTTACTGGTCGGCGCGTGAGGGTTTGTGGTGGTGTCGTTGTCGTGAATCGTGCCTTTCGCCAGAACCAAACGTCCCTCCTCATCCTGCGAGGCCTCGAAATTCCAGCCGATCTGAGGATGAGGGCCCCGCCCGCTCCGGCCCCCACAGGCATCCTTTTTTTTTAATTTTGCATCTTTTGAGGAGCCAGGTTTTGCCTGTCAGCCTGATCTAACGTCCCCCGCCTTCAGGGGGAGAATCCACTGTGTTCACACAACGTGGCAGCTGGTGTACTTGGTGTTACTCCTGCTGTCTTGATTTATGTTTGTCATTTATTCCGTGACATCGTCGGTCGGGTCGACTTGCTGATGACTCCATTGTACCCTTTCATTTGGAAACTCCATTCGTTCCGCGAACAGCCCCCGCTTTCCCAGCCCCAAGTCCCACGTCACTGTCTTTCTCGTGTGGAAGGACGAAAACCCTCCACGCCGGCCTGGCCCCCAGCGCGCCTCCCCGGCACTTCCGTATGATCGAGATAAAATGCGACGTGCAGACTCTTTTGTTTACCCCCTTCCTTGGCCCTTCCTGCCTGCGTTTCACTCGGCCGTCCTGGGCACCACTAGACTCTCCTCTGACTGTGCCTCCACCGCCTGGGGACGTCATACCCGGCACCACGGCCCTAGGCAGGGGGCCGTCCATGTCCGGTGTGACCACGTCGTGCATTTGTGCTCAGCACCTCGCCTGTCCCTCCTCCCCACTGGGAGCCTGTGCTCTGCGTGTGTCCCATGAGGAGTGATGCGGCACCCACAGCATGCCACCACACTCACACTGCTCCGGGCTGTCCTGGAAGATGCCCCACTGCCCACAGGGCCTCTGCAGTGGTGACAGGAAGGAGCAAGAACCAGGACTGGGTGACCAGAGTGCTTAGAGTGGATAGCCTGGCGGGTGAGGACCTTGGGTCAAGGGAAGTGCCAGCCTGTAGAGGCCCTGCCGGGAGGACCAGAGCAGTAAGGGCCCCGGCCGCTCCCCTCCCTCCCTCTGGCCCCAGCAGGGAGCAGGTGCCGGCCATCAGCCTCCTGCCTCGGAGTCGGATTCCTGGGCCCGCCCACCTGTGTTCTCTAGATGGACCCCTGGTGACAGGGTCTGCGTTCTGCCCACCTGTAGACACCTCCCCACCAGCCTCGGGGACGCGGCCCGCGGTTTCTCAGCGAGAATGGCCCCTGTGCAGGCTGGCCCTCTCTCGTGTCCCCGTGACGCCCCAGACCCACCTTCCCTTCTCAGTCCGCTGGGCTCCGGCAGGGGGGCCTTCCGCCGCAGACCTCACCCGTCTGCTCGCGGACCCTCTGCAGCGTCCCCGGTGTGTCCTCCAAGTCTCAGGTCCTTCTTCAGCCCGGCCTGTCACGTGTCACCTCGTCACCTGCTCACCTGGCCGCTGACCCGGTGCTTTCTCATCGTGGCGGGCAGTGCGGTGAGGGGCCCCGAGACGTCCCCAGGCGGCAGCCCGGCCGTGTCGCCGTTTCCTGTGACGGCACCCCAGCTCGCTCTCTGGCACCCCGCTTTGCTAGCGTGTTTTCTGTTTATTCCGCCCCGTCTTCCTGTCTCTGGCCCCGCAAATGGATTCCACGTTTTGGCAACCCTGTGGCCTAGGATCTGGTGGCTGGTGTGTCCCCAGTGTCCCAAGTCCTGCAGGCCGTAGAAAGGGGAGCAGTCCCCCCATCCGTGTCCCCCACCCAGTCCCATGGGCTGTTGGCCCCTAAGGAGTGGTCTCCGTCCCAGCCCGTGGGGCCGCTGAGCACAGGCTCTCCCTGCAGGACACCCAGGAGCCCAAACTCTGACACTCAGGGCTCGGTTGGGTTGGGGGAGGTGACACCGGGGACAGGTGCTCATCCCCTTCCCGGGTCCCGTCGAGGCTTCCGAGCGGCTGTTTTGTGTTTGCAGTGAAGGCCGCGTGGCGTGTCCACCGCTCTGTGTGGTGCGTTGTTCTGTAGTGGAAGGATTTTCTTAAACAGCAAAAAATGTTGATGATTATGAAGCTGTTTGATAGACACGTGACAATCATCACACCGTCGAGTCTTAATTTCTTTGAAAATTTCATTTAAAAAAAAAAAGATGTTTTAAACGACACTGTGGAAAGCCAGACTCCGGAGCGCGGCTGGGCTGACGATTAACCCTGCGCTACCCGTGAGTTACGAAACGCGCCCAACACCGCGCTGCCGGCGGAGACGCGCGTCGCTGAATCTGCGCGTTCGAATTCAGCTGTATTTCAGAGCTGTCGGCGTTGCCGTCGACGTGCCGGTCTGGGTGCCGAGGCCCATCGTGGACCTGAAGATCTGCATGTACGACCGGATGTACCAGGACTCCATCCTCGTCCACACACGGTGAGCAGGGGCCACGTCCTCCAGCCGCATCCGCCATCCTCGTCCACACACGGTGAGCAGGGGCCGTGTCCGCCGTCCTCACCCACGCACGGTGAGCGTGGCACTGCGTCCACCACTCCTGTTTCTGAATTGCTGTCGACTCAGGGCCAGGCTGGACAAAGGCCCCAGCAGCCCTGGGTCAGGCAAGAACCATCTAAGGTGTGCCGAGGGGGAGCCGGAAGATTCTGGGAAGCTCTGGACCACGGCCCATGGTTCCGGGGGGACGGGAATCGGCTCCCTGGCCACACTCGGGCAGCCCGCTGCCTCTCATCCTGTAGCGTAGCAGTCACTCCACCAACTGGGCGCATGCTGACCCAGAAAGGGACAACCTAACCGGGGAGAAGGGGCTCCGGGAGAGTCCTCACGGGGCGTGCGCCTGGGAGCCGGAGAGGCACTGACAGAGCCAGCATCCCACGTGCTTGGTCACGGGCAGCCTTGGCCCCTCCGGCTGGTTCTGGTTTGGCAGAAGGGACGGAACTTAGGGGAGCTCAGTCCCTGACCAGGCCTGGCTGTTCTGCGGAGTTTGTGCTGCAGGCCGGTGTGGCGCCCAGCCTGCCCCAGCAGGAGGAGGGCAGAAGCCCAGGCAGGCACGGGTCGCAGCCCCAGGCCCCTGCACCCGGGGTGCCTCCAGGCCTCCTCCCAGGAAAGGCTCAGGTTTCTGAGAACCAGGGCCGCACCCCAGTCACGTGTTTGTAAGAATCCCCATTAGATTTCAGTGCAGGAAGCCAGCCCCTAAGAAGCCGCCTGGGGGACCCCTGCCCTTGCCGTCGGGGCGCAGCCTGGCTCGCCCTGGTGTGCACCAAGCGCCCTGGACGGCTGGGTGGTGAGGACGGACAGACCCCTTTGAGGGTTACACTGCTCGGTGTCACATCTCGTGACCCTTCACATCCTTTGTGCTGCAGGTCGAAAGTGGCCCTGGGCCTGAAGTTCGAGGTGTGCAAAGAGCTCAGGGGCCACATGGAGCTGCTGCCGGAGACGGGCTACATCCAGGCCCTGTCGTCCTTCTCAGTGCAGCTCAAGTTCCTGCCGCGGTGAGTGGGGGGCGGGGGGGGCGGCGCGGGGAGGCTTGGGCGGCGCGGGGCGCCCTGGGTGAGCACCGGCTGCGCCAGGCGCACCGCAGGCTCTTGCGCTCCGTGGACTTTGTGTATTTTGATGTTCTCGCTCAGGCCGGCGTCACTCGTTTTGCAAAACGTGAACAAAGCATTTGCATGCGCGCGTCTCTTCCAGACACTCCCTCCCAAAAGACGCGGAGAAGTATTTTGACAAGGAGAGCAGGGTTCTGGAGGCCCTGATGACAATCCGGGTGACCGACCAGGTGTGTGCGGGGCACTTCCCAGCGTGCGGGCACTCGGGGAGCTGGGCTCTGCCCCCCAGCGGGGCCCCTGGCGGGTTTCCGGTCCCCTGACCGGCAGGCTTGTCTCCTGGACAGCGGGCAGGAGGGGTGGCTTGTGTGGCTGGTTTAGCAGCTCTGAGAGCTGGCCGGGCCGGGCGCCACGTGCCACATGCTCACAGACACGCGCCCCCACAGCACTCCCGCCCCGTTTCCCTTCGCACTCTCAGACCGCGGTGCTCATGTGCGCACGCCCTCGGCGCCCGGGCACGTGTGCGCCCCACGCCTCTGCTCCGGCACCTCTCTGTGCCGGCTGCTTTCACGTCCCTCCCGGTCCGGGGACAGCGGGACAGTGGGTTTTCTAAGGGAGATGCGTGTCCACGAAAGGCCGCACCCACGGGCCACGGCAACGCTCTGCTGTTCTCACCGCGGGGCATGTCTGTGGGGACGCCGCGTGTGACCAGAAGTGTGCCGGCCCTCTGCACTTCAGATCAAACCGGTGGAGTTCACGGTCCACGCCGTAGTCACCACCTCGGACCTGGAGCTCATCCCGTCGGAGGTGGACTTCGGCTACTGCACCATCTACGAGGCCGTCAGGGCCCCCGTGAGCCTCTGCAACCACTCCCTCCTGCCCCAGGAGTTCGGCTTCGTCGGGCTTCCCAAGGTGCCTCGCATGTGGGGACATGGGGCGGGTCGGGACGCTCGGGAGACCGGCCAGGCGTCTGCGCCCGAGCCCAGGAGGCCTCGCCCCTCCCCGGACTCCACGCCCAGTTCCAGGACCCGGCCTCCGCTCTCTCTCTGCTTGTCCCTCTTCTCACCCCCACGGTCCCCTCTCGCCATCTCACCCTGCCCCTCGCTGCCCCTTCGCCTCTGTTCCCGTCTCCCTGGCCCGCTGTACCGCGGAACCCCAGACCCCTCTCCATCCCTTCCTGCCAGTTCCCCTGCCTGCTGGCCCTTCGGGGCAGCTGAGACGAGGTCCCGGCCTGGCTGCCGCGCACCCCTCCCCGGGCTGTCCCACACAGACCCCACCATCCTGTCACATACGTGCAACACACAGACACAAACACACTCGTGCACATATGCACTCACATGCATGCAGGCACACACGCGCACTCACATGCTCACGTACATGTAGGTACACCACGTGTGTGTTCACACGCATGCATGCACACACTCGTATACTTAAACATTCACATGCATGCACTCAAACGTGTACACACTTGCATGCAGACACACATGCAGACAGGGTCACACATACAGACACATATATACGCACAATCAAATGTATGCAGGTGCACACACATGCTCACATACATGCAGGAGCACTCACACACTCACAGACACAATCACATACATGCATGTTCACATGCATGCAGACGCACACGTGCTCACAGACACAGAACCATGCTCACACACTCGCACTCACAGACATGGGCTCACGCATGACCACACTAACATGCACACCTTTGTGCATACACATTGCATACAAGACCAACACCCCTTGCACTCACACACTCTGCCACACCCTGCCCCGCCTATGTCCACGCAGTGCCCCTTGGCCCTCCCCAGCTGTCACCTTGGCACCCACGGTTCTCCTTTGCAGTTTGTGGACATCCAACCCAACGACGGGTTTGGGACCATCCTGCCTCTGGAAACTCTGGAACTTGACGTGATCTTTCAGCCCCCAAAGGCCAAGGTCAAGGAGTACCGCTTTGAACTCATCTGCAAGTCAGTCATCAACCGGTGAGCCTGGCAGGAGGGGTGTGTCGAGGGGAGGAGCGTGAAGGGCCCCTCCGCAGACACTAGGGAGAGGCCGTCCCTCCCACACCTTCCAGCCACTGGCCAGGGCACCGCTGCTGGCCACAGGAACCTCAGACCCAAGTACAGACACCTGGGGTCCACGGCCTTGAACGCTGGGCCAGCTTGACCCTGTGTGTGTGCGCGTAAGTGTGGGTGTGCATGTGTGAGCATGTGTGTGAGTACACGTGGGTGAGTGTGAGCATGTGAGTAGTGTGTGCGCACATGAGTGTTACATGTGGACATGCACGTGTGCTGGTGTGCATTGCAAACGTGTGTGAATGTGTGAGCACGCACTGGGATGTGTGCCATGTGCACGCGTGTACCTATGAGCGTGAGCACGTTGGCATGTGTGAACATGTGTGAACATGTGTGTGGTGTGCAGGGCGCCCTCTGCACTGAGGAGGACCTGGCCGTGAGCCCCGCTGCTTGAATGTGCCGTGTGACAGACCATCGCGGGGCCTCCCTGAGCCTGAGGGACGGGGACGGGGCCGAGAAGGTGGTGGACAGGCGGATGTGAAGCAGACACTGAAGTGATGGTCTGGGCCCAGGGCCGGCTCTGTTGTGCTCTGGGAGTGTCCTGGAGTGTCCCCGTGCGGGCGTCTGGCCGGGCGTCGGGCCGCCCCCCCATCGAGTCCTGCTCCCGTCCGACCCTCTGCTCTCTCTCTCTTGCCCTGTCCTCACCCATCTCCACCCTGAGTTGCCGTTTGACCCTGGGTGGGCCCGGCGGGCCCCTCATCCCGCAGACCAAGCCCTCCGCCAGCCGGGCCCGGAGGCAGCTGGGGTTGACGTGCTCGTGGGGGAGCGGGAATGAGCTTGTGGGTGGTGAGACTTTAGGGAGCGAAGTGCAGTTAGGACCCCCGGAGGAAACGGAAGAGACCAGCCCCTGCCCGCTGCCGCGCCCACGCCCGGCTGCCCGCCCCTCCGCTCGGCTGACACGGCCCGCCAGTCTGCTATGACGATGACGCCTTGGTGCCCCCTCGCTCACATCTCCGCCTATGGAGAAGAGGGGTTCTTCCCTGCTTATACGTCAAGGGGACCCCGTGCCCGGGACAGCCCAGGGTTACCAGAAATCAAGCTGCAAGGCCGCAGGAATCACAGAGTGCGGGTGGCTGGGCGGGGCCTGCAGTCCAGACACGTCCCGACCACACACACTTCACAGCTGGGAGCCGCCGGTCCCCTGCCCGGCACCCCGAGCGTGGCTGCCTGTCAGCTCTCCTGGATGGCCGAGAGCCGTCTGCGATCTGGTGTGCCCAAAGCTGGACGCCCTGTCCCCTCCCCGCCAGCTCCCAGACCTGCTCCACCTGTGGCCCCTGCCTTCCTGTGGCTCACACAGATTTTCTTCTGAAAGTGTTGTGTGTTGACATTGTACACGTGGGTCAGCGACTCCTCCTGGTCGGTTTTTGCAGGAAGTGCGGGGCGCGGCGTGGGGCGCGGGGCGCGTTGACTCCTCTTCCAGTGTCCCGGGTGCCATCGCTGGAAAGGCTCTTCTCTGGGGGTGCGGCAGCGCCGTGCCCCCGGCTGCCCACGTGCTGCTGACGGTGCGTCTGCGGCCGCTAGAGCTGAAAGTCTGTTTGGCTGAAAACAAACCTTTTCTTCCCCTGAGTACCTTCGATGCTGACCTATCAACAACCCGCCGTCTTGGGGAATAGGACACGTCCGTCCGAGTCGGATGCCAACCTGAGCTTCTTGGTGCCTGGGCACCTCAGGGGTCTGGTCCTTCTTACTTGAAATCCAGTAACTTTATCAGAACACATTCTGGTGTTGGTGGTTGTGGATTAATGTTCCCAGATGCACAGTGTTTTTCGAGCCTTTTTCACTTGGGGAGCATTTCCCTGAATTTCAGCCCCTGCTACTTGCTTCGCTTTTCCCGCTAGGGGCGCGATGGGTCGTCTCCACGTCGTCCCACGTGCCACCTCCTCCTTGGTCCTCTCCACCGCCTCCCGATTTTTTGAGTGGTTCACCTCGCGCCTTCTCTTCCTCTGAAGGGGTCGCGTGCTGCGCCCGCTCATGCCCGAGTCCCGGCCAGCTGAGCCTTCACTTCTAGATCACCCTGGTCGATAACTCTTTCCTGAGCTCTGGCACCTCACTTCTGAGTCCTCGCAGTCCCACCGCTCGCCTCGAGTCTCCCCGGGGCACCGTGAATT